GTTACCGAAAGTAACTTGTGACAATATTTTATCCAGGCGACGATATAACATTTAGCTAAAATATGCATTTGTAGGAGTCGATAAGGTTTAGGAGTAGAATGTACGTGTGCTTTTACTTTCGTATCTAGCTTTAAGTCATAGTTTAAGTAACTTGTTTGTAACTAAGTAATATTAGTTGGCAACCCTAGCTTTTAGACTAGTACGATAACTCGTTGAACTAGCGATTAAGACTCGTTGTAAAGGACCCGCCATTTTCAGAATAAAAAAAAAGAGATTCATTCGATTTTTGCCAGCGAACACTTCGGACTTTCTTTTATTTTGTCACTTTGCCTTCTGCATATTTAACATCTAAATAAGTTATAATTGGCATTATTCTCGCAGTTGGAGTATACAGGTATATACATACAAGTATACCCAAATTAGCGCGTTGAGCTTGTATATTTATCTCTCTCTAACGCATTAATTCTATATACGTCAGCACCAAGCCCGACAAAGTTATGTCTGTATTTAATAATGGCTCTATAACAAAATATTCATGTATTCGTAGATTTTTATTTACTTCATTTATACATTAGTATTGATATGTTTTTTTTATTGAGGAATAAATATTTAATAAAAAACTATTTCATTTAAGCTTAACCAACTTTGTTGCCCGGTGCTAATTTTGGAACGCTTATGAAATATTTTCATAGACAGTAAATGCAACCTGGGTCATCATTAATGAGCTGAAAAACCAAACATAAAAAAATATTCCATCTGAACCATATTCCCAAAAAATTATAAAGCAAAACAAAAACAATTTTTCCAATTTATGCACTGTTATTTTTATTATTGCAGTACAGTTTCGCAGCTCCTCAAACATTTTCCACATTATGCTTTTAAAGCTAGTAGTTTCCGACCCCATTTGCTCGTTTTTTTTTCAGTTCTGAATTTAGGCTAGGTTTCATGGAACTTACTGTGGGTGCAAACAGACCACATTTTGTAAATATGTACATATGTATACACTTCAACTGAATTGTGATATTAATTTTATTTTATAATGAAAAATGAATTTAATGTTCAATTTTTTAAGTTTACTAAATGTAAGACAATTTTTAATTTTCTTTATATATTGTCACTGCTTTAGTTTTAATTATTTTTAGTTAAGCTTGTAGAGGTGAAAATAGGCCTCCTGGGGAACCGAGCACCTTAAAAAAAAAATCGGTAACGCACCGGGTCGGAAACTACTAGCTTTAAAAGCATAATGTGGAAAATGTTTGAGGAGCTGCGAAACTGTACTGCAATAATAAAAATAACAGTGCATAAATTGGAAAAATTGTTTTTGTTTTGCTTTATAATATTTTGGGAATATTGGTTCAGATGGAATATTTTTTTATGTTTGGGTTTTCAGCTCATTAATGATGCACCCAGGCTTGCATTTACTGTCTATGAAAATATTTCATCAAGCGTTCCAAAATTAGCACCGAGCAACAAAGTTGGTTAAGCTTAAATGAAATAGTTTTTTATTAAATATTTATTCCTCAATCAATATCAATATCAATACTAATGTATGAAATGAAGTAAATAAAAATCTACGAATACATGAATATTTTGTTATAGAACCATTATTAAATACAGACATAACTTTGTCGGGCATTGGTGCTGACGTATATAGAATTAATGCGTTAGAGAGAGATAAATATACAAGCTCAACGCGCTAATTTAAGTATACTATATACCTGCTACTCGTCTGGCATATACTCCAACTGCGAGAATAATGACAATTATAACTTATTTAGATGTTAAATATGCAGAAGGCAAAATGACAAAATAAAAGAAAGTCCGAAGTGTTCGCTGGCAAAAATCGAATGAATCTCTTTTTTTTTTTATTCTGAAAATGGCGGGTCCTTTACAACGAGTCTTAATCGCTAGTTGCAACGAGTTATCGATACTAGTCTTAAAAGCTAGGGTTGCCAACTAATATTACTTTAGTTACAAACAAGTTACTTAAACTATGCATTCCTCGGTCTCCTTGGCGTGGGGATGAGGCTTAAGTGGTGACATTGGGGCCATGAGGGGCTTCTATGTCAGCATGAACTAAGAGGGAGGCTCCGCATGAGAACCTGCGTAAGACACGAACTTACACAGTTTCCTATGTGGAGATTACCGTACCGACGATTACTCCTGCCCTCATCCCTCCTTATTTCTCCGATCCCAACAACCCAACTCCTCCCCCTAATCCAGGGTGTTATGCGACACCGTGCCCATTGGATGGTTTGCAGCCAGGGGGTTTACCAGACCGGCTGTGGTGGCCTTGCCGCGGCATAGGGCGCTGCCGTGGTGGACCGTTAATTTCCCCTTAAATTGCTTAGACCACCGCGCCCGCCTCGTCGGGCAGGTGGTCGTACGAACAAGATGAATACAAACCAAAATAAAACAAAAACAATAACAAAAATGGTCAAATGAGTGATCAGCACGCCCGAACGCTCGAGTGGGCCAAAAAGGGAGGTAGCCGATGGCGCGAATGCGCTGTCGACTATAAAGCGGCAGAGATCACGGGAGGGGGAAACCACGACCGTGAAAAGGTATCGTACGGGGCCGGCTCCCACGTTTAGCGAAATCGCTAATCTTGCCGGGTCAGTGGAGTTAGGGGTCATGGACCGCAGCAGGGAAGACGGCGCCATCACTCACGAAGAGTGGAAGCGTGTGGCGGCCGCCATGCCGGCGGTATTTATGAGGGTGGTCAGGGGGAATACAGGGCCACCACCTAGGTGTGAGAGTGCCTGTTGGCACCATGGGCTGCATAAGCTCACGAGGTGCGCCGATGAGCGGTCGGCAGCCTTATACAAGGAGGCAGTCTCCCTGGTGGGGGAGGTTTGGAAGGGTGCCGATCTAGTGGCCGTGGACAAGGCGGATCTTCCGATGCGTCCACGGGCTCGGGTATGGCTCCCTACTGAGCTTACCTCTCCAGAGGAGATCGAAGGAATACTTCGGTACTGTAATCCTTCTCTCCCGACGCATAACTGGAGGGTTATCTGGCTGGAGAGGACCGAGGAATCTTACCGGCAAGCGCCCATACTGCTGAATGCAGAGTCCCTCGGTGCTCTCGGCGATACAAAGGGGGTCATATACTATGGCTTCGAGAAGGTGGTTCTACGGATTCTACCGACCGAAGCCAAAGCAGATGACCCTCTGCCTCCAGCTACTTCGGAGGGAGAAAGAGAGGCCATTGACTCCGCCAGCATGGAGTTGGGAGACTCGGCTCAATCGGATGCTAAGAGCATTGGGGGCGGCTCCTCTGCCGGGGCGTCCGTCTTCAGTCTCGAGAGGCTGTTCGGTGGGGTCGATGTCCGCGGTGAGAGCGCGGAACCAGCGCTCATGGAGGATATTCTGGAGAATGAAGATTCTGCAGATTAATCTCCAACATTCCAAGGCGGCATCCGCCAATCTTTTGCTCCACCTTGAGCAAGGTGGGGCTGACGTGGTTCTGATACAGGAGCCATGGCTGAGCAGTAATGGTATCTCTGGAATCAGAACAAGGAACTA